AAAACAGATTAGCTATGGCGAGGTTTTTGCTGGAACACGCGAACGCGGACATAGAGAGTAGAGATTCAGAAGTAAGTAATCGTTAATCGTGTCAAAAGAAGATGCTCAATAATTATTTACTATTTTAATATCTAAAATGATTTGCGCTTTACATGTGATACGCCTGAAAATTAACAATTACTACATTGGTGTTCTATAGGGCAGAACATCGTTGCACGTAAGCGCCTGGCAGGGACACGTGGAGATGGTAGCGTTATTGCTAACCGAGGGTGCAGCCAGCGTAAATGCTTGCGACAATGAAAATAGAACGCCGCTTCATTCCGCCGCTTGGCAAGGACACGCAGCGATCGTCAGGCTGCTCCTAGAACACGGTGCCACTCCCGATCACACTTGTAATCAAGGTGCCACGGCTCTAGGTACGTTAATTATGAATAATCTCTAAAGTTGTATAATAAGATGTGCATTAACAATATAAAGAACTTTTTTTATAACTTGATTATAGTTCTTATTAACCTGAGGCATGTTAGCTGATAGTAGAATGTAATTTACAGGTATAGCCGCTCAAGAAGGACACGAGCATTGTGTTCGGGCGCTTTTGAACCACGGAGCCGATCCCAATCACTCCGATCACTGTGGACGTAATGCCATTAAAGTAGCCGCTAAAAGTGGCCACGACACAGTTGTCAGGCTGTTAGAAGAGCATACTGCGAATCAACGCAGCTTGAGGCCCGGCATCAATGGAGGTCAATTGCCACATTTTCTGTTAATTTACAGTCAAATTCGAACACTTAAGAACATTCAGGAAGAAGATACAGAAATATCGTTCTTATCACTCCTCTCTTGTAGGAGATAACAAAATTCAAATTTTGAAATTATTTTGTAATATAAAAAGTGTCTATGACTTGAAAGGAAATATTTTACAATTGTTATTTGCCGAAAATTTTCTTTTGACATATCGAAAATTGAAACAATAATGTTATATAATTTCCAGGTGGTAGCAGTAGTGCTACTTCTGTTACATCCAATTCGACGGCTGAGACTAAACCTTCGTCGGCGATTTTGAATCCTCTATCGACGCAATACAGCCCAGCGGAATCGCCAGACTCGACGAAACGACGCAGCTGCGTTTCTTTAGGCAACAATTCGAGCAACAGCAAATCCAGCAGCAATTTAACCGGTAGCACTAAGAGCGATCAAGGAAAGTTTAATCAAAACTCGATGGTTAACTGTCAGGTAATCAAGGTAACACGGCAACCTCCACGGCACTCGCTTGGTTGATGAAATTAAAGCGACTTCGTGGCTATATTGTGATTAATTATTTAACTCTTATAAAACTTACAAATTATTTAACTTCTTCTAATTTTTATAATTTCAGGCACCATTATCTTTCACGCAACAACTACAGCAATGCTCAAGAGGCGCAAAGAGTCGACCACTCAGCAAATTATTGTCACCTTTGAAAAGTGAACCGCAGAGCCCGATATACGCCTCACCTCCGCACTCTCCGTTAAGCGACAGCCTTATTCCTTACTCTCCTACAAACACGAGTCCACCTAGTGCTCAAACAGCAGTTAACGTGATACAGAGTCAGCTGGGCGTATCGTTGCTGGCAGCGAACCCAAATATGCCGTACAAAGCGCAGATAGGAGGATACAATCATACGCCGGTCATCTACGAGCCTATCAACATCAAAACTGAGATTATCGATAGGAATAACATTAGCAAGCCGTTCGAATTAACAAACGAAATGTTAGGCTTGAATATTGGGAAGGATAAGGAGAACGGGCATGAGGAGAAACGAAATTCGGCCGACACGCATTTTACGCGAGACACTCATATGAGAATAATATTGGGAAATAGCGGCGCTGGCGTTGGTAGAAGCGTCAAGCACGTATCGGATCATACACCTGGAAGGTAAGCAGTTGATAAGAAATAAATCATATGCACAAGTTATAAGCACTATACTAATATTCTAATTATGTTTATCACAGCGTACAATTAACATTTTCTCATTGTGAAATGTTTTTTTAATCATCCACGAGACACGACATCAGACTACATTTTTAGAGACCGCAAATTACTTACGGCATTCACACATTCACAAGACTTGTCAGCGAGTGTTAGTCAGATATCATGCACATTTGTCTTATGTTTCGCACATGTGTACATCATCCACGAAAAATCATACGTACATAATTCCATCCTCTCAATCGCAACTTTATAAAGCATATTTATTATCTTAATTTTTTTCAATGCAATTCTTTAGACTTTGCAGAAATCACAATGGTCGTATAAGGAAGACACACCGCTTCATGAGCGATAGGCTTTCCTTCCTTTTTCAACCCTCCCGAGCGAAAAAAGATAGAATATGTAGTCAAGGAGGACATACGACAATGTTAGACATATTTGTCATGCTATGTATCAATTGGTTATTAACATCGTTTACTTAAAATCGCCAATCAAAGGCACAGACATGTATTAACGATATTTTTCTTTTTTTTTCTTTTTTCTAAAATCTTGATGCATTATTACTTTTCTTTTTGACTTACATTTAATTTTTCATGTCAGCTCTTCGACGAAGATAAAATAATATACATATATGTTATTCGTGTAAGCACATTTTGTCTAAAGTACCATTATATTTTATTTCAGTGCAAGCAATGTGAAACCAAAGCGTAATGGCTTGGTGTCCAACCCAGCCATGAGATTAGTAGCGGGCGTTAGAAACGGAATTGAGAATGCTACGAATAGAAATAAGCCTATTACAACGCGTGTAAATGGATTCCAATGGAAGGCGGAAGCGCGCAAGGAAACACCTTTGTAGGGGCAGGTATCGTCTATCATTTATTTATACTCATTAATATTTTTTTTTCCATTCTGTATAGTATAGATACTTCTAATAATCTGTAAATTTCCAAGCAATAGCAAATGACTCGGTACATCACTCCAAATTCGTGTAAAAAGTATTGTACCAAGTTAGCACTTGGCTGTTAATGTTAAGCCTAACTTACCGATTTACTAGCGTCATAATAAAAAATTTTAAAATTATATTTTATTATTTTTCAAACGAATGAAATATTGATTAATCATCTGTTGTCAAATCTCATACAATGACGCAATAATAACTATAGACGGTCCATAAATGGATATAATTATATAAATTATATAAAATATAATGAAATACATTTGTTGTTCCAGGCTGTATCTTATGGATTGTCTCGACGAAGAGCCGCGAGCCAACACCGTGGATGGCGATCTGTCGCGAACAAAAAGCGAAAGTCAATAAACAAATTTTTCTCTGTTTATTTGAGCAAAATCAAATTACCTCAAATAAAAAGGAAGAGGAAGGAAGAATGAATATTCTGATTTCACGACGTGAAAAACGCAGATCGCGTAGCACACAAAACCAAATATTAATTTGCATAGGAAAAATATACGTAGACATAGATATGTAAACTTACGAAACATGACTTTGTATAAATATGACGTTAATGGAATTATTTACTGATCTCACTAATGTAATACGCGCATACACATATACATATGCGTTCGTATTGGGTGTGTCTATGTGTATGTCTGTATATGACGCTTATATATACCTACAGAATATTGCAAACACTGCTCAGTCTCCGAATCACACTGGTTTTAGAGAAAAGAAGCTATATCGGTTTGCAACAATCGGGAGTAAGAGAAAAGTCGCTAAAGATTGTTATCGAGAGAAATTGATCAGCTTTTGAGGTATTCTGTATATATACTTAAAAAAATTATTAAAATCTTGAAGAGAGGGAGAAAGAGGAACTTTAGTCGTGATGTTAATGCCAGAATAGACGATAAAGTTTTAACGATGAAAATTTCTTCAGAAGACTGGATGCAAACAGAATGCATATGTGATCTTTTAATGAGTAACTTTAAACCGAGAAGAAGAATATTGTAAAGATATGTATAAATTATATTAAGAGAAGACGTAAAAAAAAAAAAAAAAAAAAACGATATTGCGGACTTATTACAAATACGTAAAGTTATGGCCTGAAAATGAGGAAACGTGTAAATACCCCCCTCGTAATGTCTCTCGCAACATATTTATTATACTGTAATAGGTGCGAAATAAATAAAACTAGAAAAGAATATTACACGTAATTACCAGCGTAATTATTTGACGCCTTGTCTCATGACGACTGCCGTCGCATTTCTGCATAATATCCTATCCAACGACAAGTATCATTCAAGGTGAATATGGTGATGCGATGAGATGATCTACGAACATATTACGGAAGATATATATAATGCATCTTTCATATCTCTTAATATATTTAAAAAAATAAAAATAAATTTAACAATGAATACAAAGATACACCGCCGTAGAGATGTTACGAATAATAAAACTAATCATTCTTACATCATTAATAACTGCATGATTTAGATCATTTTTGTCCAAGCGGCCGTTTGATCTCGATGCAATTTTCTAATTATCTTATCATGTGTTCTAATTATCTTGTTATCCGTTTAACGTATCTCCCCGTTGTTCCACTGTCTTCGTCTTTTCTTGGCCTGCCGTGCATATTCCTTCTAAACCGATATCTAGATACATTTTCAGTTTGAAAAGTAAAGTGGTGATTAGGAAAATAAATAAATTGCAGTCAACATCGAAAGAGAGATATAGGCTGCGTTCCGATATTCACTGCAAGTACTGAAAATCTATAGTTTACGTTACGTACACTACGTACGTTTGTTTATCTATAAGTAAAACGTTTACTGATAAAAGAGCTTCTTGTCTCAGATAATATGTCTTGATAAAGCCTTTCATACGTTCTTCTACAAGACTATTCAGTGTTCTTTAAAATTTTCTCAAGCTCAAGTTATTTCTACGATGTTCATTATAATGTAAACGAAATTCTCGTGTTTCTTGTCGTTTTTATGTCTCTGGATAAATAAAGAACCAGCGATACGCATTCATATTTATATGAGGTAAGAGTATATATTTTATAAATTATTCTACATATACATTATCGATTCTTGAATTTAATAAATTTTAAGACGTATGATAGTCGGAAAAAGAAAAAGAAAAAGATAGACGATTCGAGTCAAACAATGTCCAAATTGATACATTCGCTGTCGAAACACAAGTTGATAATAGCGACATTGACTGGCGTGACTATTGGAATATCGTGCGGTCTGAGTCTTAAGAATTATTACAGCGGTGGAACATGGTCTCAGCGAGATATCATGTACCTCAAATTTCCTGGAGAGATGTTTCTCAGAATGGTGAACTGTTTAATATTGCCGCTTGTCACGTCCAGTATTGTAAGTGCCACTTGTAATCTCACCAGATCTGGTAAGTCCTTTAAAACTATTGAAGTTTTCTTTAACGAGGTCATACATATATTGTACGTGCTTTTTATTCTAAAATAGAAGACAATAAAAGTTAATAGAAGAATTAATTCGGATGATAAAGTAAGCGAAACTCAGATTTCACACCTCGAAATGTCGGAAATTTACTCCTGATATATCAGGAAAGCATGAGAGCGAGGAGGTTGT